GAGTCCATTTTCCCAACACTACATTTCACACGAGTCCATCTCCCCCAACACCACATTTCACACGAGTCCATTTCTCCAACACCACATTTCACACGAGTCCATCTTCTCCAACACCACATTTCACACGAGTCCATTTTCTCCAACACCACATTTCGTAAAGTCCAAGTTTCACATCCTTACATCGTTGGTGAGAAACCCAACGTTCTTACTACTCTGATATTAATTGTTCTATGAACATCCATCCGTAGCCTTTTACCTCTGTAGATTACACTACCTCCAGTTGGATGCAGGGTTTTAAAATAAGTTGTTGTTTTTTATACAGGTAGTAATAATACGTTCTTCTTATAATCCACAAATAAAATTATCTTTCAAAACGAACATCAACAACTGAAACATAATTTAGTATAAACAAGTTCCTAATCACGAATTGTGACAAGTGCCATTATGGAAAACTGATTTCATTAATAATATGATATCTAGGGCGGGCGCGACCGAGGGTGTAACATTCGCAATTGCACAGGGCGAGAGCGGCAAGTTCTTGGGAGCGACAAAAACTAATGTAAAAAAAAAAAAAAATCGGTTCTGGTCACCAGTTCCTCCCTGGCCGAGCGATAGATTTCACTTCAAGTAGACTCGGCATTCTACGGTAAATCATACAGCTAGAACATAACACTGCTGCCACCTACAAATGATTCACTGGGGGGGTGACAGGCACGGCCAGCGTTTGCACAGGGCGACAAAACACGTTACTCCAGCCCTGTTGATACCGTCATGAAAAATTAAGGTCAGTAACATTATGATATTGTATTTAGAAAGCGATAACGCGTGTTTTCGATAAATTGTTCAACAATTAATTTTTGTGAAGCTCATTGGCCTGTTATTCATTATATTACGCACCTCTAGCTCGAGTTTGTGATGTTTATGTTGCCCACACGATGGCACGACATGTAAGTCAGGGCCATAGGCTTGTTTTATGTTTGTTTACAGTATCTCCGTTTAAACGTTTTCTTGGGATTTATTTAAGCGTTCTGTTTCTTAGTGGTTTTTGTTATCGTTCTTCGTGAATTCAATCTTATGACACACTACTATAATAGTGTACTTATGTACAAGTATTATTGTAGAAATATAATAATGTGCGTGTGTAAAAAGTATCATTATAAAGAGGCTTGTCTTTCAGACGTTTTATCACGAGGTTCATCTAATGACGTACATAGGAAGATTTAAAATGCTCTTCCTTCCAAAGAGTTGTTGTTAAAAGAAGACATTTCGTGTACAATTTATTTTTACGTCTTTATTAACCTGATGTTCCTACCAGCACAGTCTGAAATGCCATATTTTGGCATGGTTCCAAAACCTTATCTCGAGGCTGCCACCTGTTTAATTTCGTAGGTACTGTACAAAGTATCGTTTAAACGTTAAAAATTGCATGGATAACTTTGACGTAGACACATGTTTATACGCCCTAATCGGTTCAGACAAAACGAACTTTTCAACTTCAGCAACGTATTATCTTTTTAGGAAACGAACCTTTTGCTTCCCCCCCCCCCAGTATAATAAATATATAGACATGTATATGATGGCACGTCACGTTTGAGCGAAGTATCATCTTTCAGCAACAAGACTTGTGACGTCTTATATGGGAAGTTAGTCCAATTCGGACACGGTAGGCCTTGCCACAAATGATGCGTTTCTAAGTTTTTATTGGAAATGGTATTACAGTGGCCACTTTTTTTTTCTAGGCCTGGCATGACCTAGTGGTTAGGGTGCTCGAATCGCTAATTCGGACACGGTAGGCCTTGCCACAAATGATGCTTTTCTAAGTTTTTATTGGAAATGGTATTACAGTGGCAACTTTTTTTTTCTAGGCCTGGCATGACCTAGTGGTTAGGGTGCTCGAACCGCTAATTCGGACACGGTAAAATGGTATTACAGTGGCCACTTTTTTTTTCTAGGCCTGGCATGACCTAGTGGTTAGGGTGCTCGAATCCGCAATCTGCGGGTTCAAATCCCCGTCACCGAACAAACCCGCTTTTTCAGCCTTGACATTGTTATATGTGACGGTCAATCCCACTTTTCGTTAGTAAAAGAGTAACTCAAGAGTTGGCAGTGGGTTATTTTGACTAGCTGCCTTTCCTTTAGTTTGTCATTTCTAAATTAGTGACGGCTAGCACAGTTAGCCCTGGAGTAGCTTTGTGAGAAATTCAACGAACAAACAAACTCGTATATGTAACACACTCCGTTTAATGAAGCACACACGCGATAGGGGTAGAAAGTTATCCTTGGATCAGAAGATAGGAGGTTTAATCTTTCATCTTTCTTAGAATCATCATTATAACTGCTAAAAAAGTGTGCCTTTTTTTTTTTCGTTTTCCCTGAAAGTTGTATAAAACGGTCATTTAGCTTCTGTCATGTGACTGTTTGAACCTCTGGTATGGACCAGGAGCTGTCATGTGACTGTTTGAACCTCTGGTATGGACCAGGAGTAAATGGTTACTATATAAAGGTGTAGATTTATAACTGGGACGCATTAACTCTTAGATTACAGACGTGGTTTTAAAACCGTTCACAACCACGGGGATCCACATATTTCTTAATAATGAATAGTTTTCTGTTTGTAACACAACATTAGGTGTAAATAGTGGAATTAATTACAATAGTGTTCGTGTTAAAACTGCCACCTTGTGCTTATATTGTATACTTTGTAAAATGAAAAACGTCTATATGATTAACAACTCGTGCGTTACGTAACAAATATAATTTCATCTTCTCCTGTGTAACGTTTGTCTAAGTGTA